AATAATGAAGTTACATTATACTAGTATGGTTCCCACAAAACATAGCTCCTCTCCATACTGGCTAACCACAATGCCAGAAAAATCCACAAAGATTAATTCAGAAATTATGAAGCATCAATAATGTGCAAAAAATTACATACTAGTGTCATTACATAATGGCAATGTAAACATAATCCAGCATTCCAAGATCCTAAGAATAACAGGAAACAGAAACTCTGCATCATGGTCTTGAATTTGCTTTAATCTCATTCAGAAACTCAGTCTTTTGAACATTACCTTTCAGGTTTTTAAAAGTGAAGCTCTCAAAATGTCATCCCAAAAGTTAAATCACGGTTACATTACCTTGTTCCTCTTTGCAAATAAAAGATTCTGGCAGCAGCTGCAATCTTTTCACACTTCTAATCTCACTGTTGATTTTTAGCGTAGCTGTAAATAAGCAAAAGAAAGATGAAAATTCGTCACTTCATCAATTGCCTTCATTTTCCAGTATGGGACTGTATTTCCTTGCCCTCAATATACAAAGGACACATTATACAAAACAAACTGCTCTATGCTTACATCCTTCCCTCACAGCAAAGTCCAAAGTATAAACATGCCATTGCATGAATTAAAAATCACTCTAAAACACCCCTTAAAAACTACAGTAAGCACCTTTATATAATACCTATATAAAAAGTATTACCAATAGCAGCTCATTAGTAACTGGAAGATATGCAACAAGATTAATAGAAGACAGTTAAACACAATAAAATCATTATTTCTACCAGTATCACCAAAACTCCATTTATTTTTTATTTAACCCTTGGCAATGAGTCTTCCCTTGTTTGTTAAATGAATCCTCTCTCTAGACCCAAAAGACCAATATTCTTGACATCACCAGAGAGTTCAATTTCATTCACATACACAAAGGCATACTTCATCTCATTCTATGAAAGAGCCAGTGATGTGCTTATGCACATGTGCACCGAACAGGATGTCTTCGGTGAAGGAGAGATTTAAGGACACACTACTCCTTTCAGAGAATCAAGCCTGGAATGGCTGTCTGCCATGCAAGTCTGCAAGCAGGTGACTTGCCAAGAATGGTAAATAAACGAAGTATTGGAAATCATTAGACATTTAACAGCTATTCTCTTTTAAGTATCTTGAAACTCTAGTAAATAGAGGTTATTATACAGATGTTGTTAACGAGTTTTAGTAAGAAACTGAGGCAAAAATTACAACCTCACATTTACCATTTGGTAACTTCCACCTTGCAAGTTATGCTTAAATGGAGGCAGCAACTGCTGATCTGGGTGGAACACCCAACTAAAAGTTACATTTGTAATTGTCATGAATTGCTGAAAAGTCATTACTAGGTCCTCGTGCCATCAGACAGTCGCGTCCAGACAAATGTGGAATACCACCAAAGCTGTGTTAGCTGAAATTTTGAGACTTTTAAGTAACACGTCGAAGAATCAAGTCATTAAAAGGAAATAGAAATTACACAAAAGGGCACCTAGAACTGTCTTTCAGC